AATTAAAAAAGATATAATCAACTAAAGTCATCGTTTTTATTACTTAAAAATTTTGCAAATTATTAGAACATTGAACGAGTGCTTAATCGTGTTTTAATCTAGTAGTCAAAGTTCAAAAGGGGCATATTATGTTTCAAAAAAGTAATTTTGCTGCCTTTTCTCCCATTAGGCAATTTCTTAAGCTGATGCCAGATAAAACTGTATGGCTTTGCGTGACATTTATAACTTTGCCAGCAAAGCGCCAGACGCAAAAGGTTTGCCACAATGAAAGCCAAGAAAACAATTTTGTACTGCTTTTTTACTCGTCAAAATTGGTGTGGATTTTATATATTTTGCTTTAAAAATATCAACAATGTAATTAAATGTTATGTTTCTGCATGAAAACTCGAATTTCGACAAAACAAAATACATATTAAACCGGCTGATTGGCAACTCGCGCAATAAGATAGCAGTTGGCCATATTTTCGCTTCGCGCTGCAGATGCAACGAAGCGTTTTATCTTGCATACGGTTGCCAGACGTTCTGATTTTATGAGTACAGTACTGATTTTTCAACTCTTGTACTAATTTTATTCATTTCTTCAATCAGTACGCTAATGTCCTGATTTTTTAAATTTTTTACTGACTTGTACTGAATTTTCAATTCAAACAAAATACTTTAGGATTTTATTAAAATTTTTACACAATGTTGGAACTTCCTTAAAATGTACTGTAAAAGGTAAAAAGAAAAAAATTTAATTATAGTTGACATGTTTCAGATAATGTTTGATATGATCAAGAAATTAATACAACAATAAAATTAATCGTTTTATGGGCATATCGCCGGGTCGTTACGTACCAGTTGCGATAATATGATGGAGCTTAAATTATTTATAAATAAGGCTGACACTTTTTTGTCGAGTGTTGTTAGTTATCTCGAAAATAACTTTCAATTTAATATTAAATTTGAATATTCGAATGGCTTTCGTCGATAACGTACAATTCTTTTTTCACAATTTACTGACATTGTAAAAGAGTTTTGCATACAAAACATAGAGTTAGATACTCTTTTTAGCGAATTATTAGTCTTTCAAAATTTTTACGTAGTTGAAAAAATTAATTTAAGCTATAGGAAATATAGATGAAGTCCTTAATAGTGGTATTTCACCACAGTTTGAAAAAATATGTATTTTTTTTTCTAATACCACACTCAAACGAAGCAACTGAGAGGATCTTAAGTATAAAGTTTGCTTCCTGGCTCAAATAGAGAACCGGCTTCTGATTAAAATTTTTTAAAGTGAACTGCAAATAAAAAGTAATTTTGAAATGTATAATAGAATTCTTTGACTACTTAAACACTGAAGATGGATCTCATTATTGCTATTCAAAAATGTTATAAATTTAAAAAAATTTATTGACTTCTGTGTACAATGCTGTGTATACTCATGCTAAAGTCAATAACACTTATTTTTTATGAACTATATTTTATTTATATGCCGAAATAACAAGTACTCTGGCGTTTTAATGTATTATATGTTACTTATGTACATTCATTATTTTGCTTTGAATAAAAACGTACTGAAAAGTACTGATTTTTTTAGCATGAAAAAGTTTAACGTACGGATTTCGTGCGTAAAAAATCTGGCAACCCTAATCTGGCATCAGCTTTAGAGGCTCGTATATAAGACCGGCTACACTGAACAATTACTCACTTGGAACGCTGGCGGGTGGAGCGCTCAAATATTTGCGGACCAGATCTGTCAATTTGGCGTATTTTAGATTAGTTTTCCACCAATCTAGAGGATTTTCACCGAGATGAGCTCTTTTTTCTTTAAGATGGGCCGTCAATTGAGCTTTAATTAAACATTTTTTAATGCCTCCAAAATCTACATCCGAGCCTTCTCTTTAGCCGGAAGAATCAAAAATTATTTCTAGGTTGCTTAAAAGACATTGAGCAGTACTTGTTGAAGAGCCGGTTTTTCAATGTCTGATTAGCACTAATCGGATGTAGAAGCTCCGGTTAAATACAACGACTGCTTTATCGATCACATGTTATATGCTTGATGTCGAAAACGTCGATAATGATGTTTAACCGGCAAGTAGTGATAACCAGACAATGAACAACCGGCCCTTAACCGTTTAGCGCCTGAAGCTAAAAGCCGGTTATTGTCCGCACCCTGGTTAGCCAGACTTAAAGCAATTTCAACAATATTAGAGAGTACACA